GTTTCCTTATGTCATAGGCTTTCCAAAAAGCTAAATTTTATCAAAATCTGACAAGTGAAAGTGGGTCAAAACAAAGATTTAGTTTGTTACAGGCAAATGCAGTCATTCAGGCAGTGTGCCTGAGGACTCAGGCAGTTAGTATTAAAGCCCGGTTTTAGGCCTAAAGGTAGGGCTTTGGGTATGTAAGAAAAGTCAGAAAATTTCAACAGCCTCAGACCAATACTTTTTGAGTTATGTAAAAAAACTACAAGGGGGGGTCAAATTGACACCCCCCCCAGCAGGAATAGGGTTAAAGGTATAAATTGAGTTTAAAAGTCAACTTCCTATTCCAGAGTTTTTTGGCAATCACTGTATTCTATTCTAAGGCCATTTTGCCATTATTTATTCTAACCGTCCATTAGCTGCAACAAAATTGTTGATGCGACTGTTCACAACCTGTTACTTGATTTTTATAGTTGGTTACTAATGTCTCACTCAATGGGTTTATTATTCAACCTTGTTTCTAAACTTGACACCTGTTGTAAGTTCTTTTTCTTTATTTCAGGCTTTTACAGTTTCCAGAATTTTGTGATTCAACAATGACTCTGTTGAACATGATCCAAATAGCAAAGTGAAGTATCATATGGCAAGATTTAAGATTAATTTTTCATTGCTCACGCCTCCTTGCATTTGACAAATTCTAGCCACAAACTCAAATTGTCTAATCTCGAAATAAATCTTCAACTTTTGATATTTCAAAGTTAGACTATGGACGTCATACGTAATGTCGAGAGTGACCTGAATTTAAAAGAGTTGCAGGGCCGATTCACAATGGTATCCTTTAATCCCCTTCATTCGTGAAGGATGAAGGATGAAGGATGAAGGATGAAGGATGAAGGATAAAGGATGAAGGATGAAGGATGAAGGATGAAGGATGAAGGGTATAGGATGAAGGATGAAGCATGAAGAATGAAGGATGAAGGATGAAGGATGAAGGATGAAGAGTTAGGGATGATATATCACTGTTTACAACTAAAGGATTATAAGTTAAGTCAACGTATTAAGTTATATAATCTCTTTATCTTTTCTCTATCGTCTGTATATCACTATACAACTATCTATCTTTCTGTCTATCTTTTAATATATCTTTCGATCTATCTTTCTACACGTATATTTTTATCTATATCTAGAAAGCTAATTGTTTTCTGTCAAATATATTTGTATCTTTCCTTGTCTATCCTTGTGGTGTTAGGTACTTTCCCAAAGGCATTTTCCCAAGGGCGACCTCCAAAGTGACAACTTCCCAAGCGAAAACTTCCCAAAGGTTAGGTTAGGCCCTCTCAGCTAGGCGCCGTAGGCTGCAATTGGGGGGCCGAGCGCTGCGGCTAGGACAGGCTAGGGGGCCGAGCTCCGCGGCTAAAACAGGTTGGGGGACGAGCGCTTGGGAAATTTCACATTTGGGAAGTTGCCAGTTGGAAAAATACCCATGGGAAGTTGCCGCTTACGAAAAATTCGTTGGGAAATTACCTAACGTCTTTCCTTGTCTATCCTTGTCTGTCCTCGTCTATTCTCGTCTAACATTGTCTATCCTTGTCTATCTTTGTCTATCCGTGCCTATCCTTGTTTATACTTTTATATTCTTGTCTATCCTATCCTTGTCGATCCTTTTCTATTCTTGTCTATCCTTGTACATAGAACTATATGGCTACTTTGCGGATTTGACTTCGGGAGTGGGGACTGCTAATTAAGTATTTCTCATTTTAATTTCAATATTTATATCTTATATATATTTATGAGCCTAACATTACATTTAATTCATGAGAAATGATCCCTATAGCGTAGATGGATGGGGGGATGCTTCAAATTGAAAAAAGGAGGGGGTGAGAGGGTGGTATAGGGGGACATTACCCCTCAGCGACAATAGTTAAATTACACTCAAATGTCGAGGTATTCCTTGTTCCGTTTCCGGTTTCTCCTGGCAGTTTATACATTGCAACCTCCCCCCTCTCCTCTCCTGGCAGTTTATACATTGCAACCTGCATCTATGAAAGAATCATACAAATGATTATACCGTATCCTTCCTCTTATCCTTTCTCTGCCGCATACATCCTTCCTCTCTTACCTTTTCCTTTCTGCCTCTACCATCCTCCTTTCTCTCTCACCTTTTCCTTTCTGCCTCAACCATCCTACTTTCTCTCTCACCTTTTCCTTTCTGCCTCAACCATCCTCCTTTCTCTCTCACCTTTTCCTTTCTGCCTCAACCATCCTTTCTATCTCGCCTTTTCCTTTCTGTCTCATCCATCCTTTCTCTCTCACCTTTTCCTTTCTGCCTCATCCATCCTTTCTTTTTTAGAACGAAAGAGCCTTTAATGTCATAAATATCTAGAAACTAGTAAAAATATAGAATCTAGTAAAAATATAGAATCTAGTAAAAATCTAGAATCTAGTGTAAATTCCCTTTAAAAATTTAGATGTATGAACAAAACTAAAATAAAGTCTAAGAGATTTGAGTTTGCAGTGCAGTGCAGCAAATTGGGTACCCTCCGGTGGAACGGAGGCCACCGGAGGGCAATTGTTTCTACCGGAGGGAATGTTTTTATTTATTCAATGCTAATTACTCCATCGGAGGGATGGTAATTAACACTCAGAACACTAATTACTCCATCATAGGGGTGGTATTTACCATTCAGGACACTAATTACTCCCTCGGGGGGATGGTAATTAACACTCAGAACACTAATTACTCAATCGGAGGGATGGTAATTAAGAATTGGGACACTAGTAACTCCATCGTAAGGATGGTAATTAACATTCAAAGCACTAATTACCATTCCTCCTGTGGAGTTATTAATGTGCTAAATGTTCAATACTATCTCTCTGATATAGTTCTAAGCATTTAATAAAAATGTGTATTCCCTAGCTCCGTTGGAAATAATTTCCCTCCGGTGGCCTCCGCTCTAGTGGAGGGGATCCACTATGCTGCTGCAAACTGTAATCTCTCATAAATGCCCGTGTACCCTACAATGTCTCATCCAGAAGCATGAGCAAATCTAGAAAGTTCTTAAAGTGACACATTCTCACTGCAGGTTTTCTCTGCAGGGAAACTGGAAAAATGTTTTGAAAATATGGTGACATTACTACAAGTTTTGTGAGTCATTACAGTACACACCAATCCAGACTGCAGAAGAAACACTGCCTGAGATTTAAAGGGACTGTAAACATAACTTCAACGGTACCCTTTAAAGAATGAATTATGATAGCTATTTTTTATTGAAATGTTAATTTTCAATCAACAAATTCTTGCTTCAAAAACAATCGAAAGGGGAGAAGCGCCCTGAATTTCTTTTTATGTGTTCATGTGATCTACGGGAAAGTAGATACCGACTATAAAGTCCTAGGAAGTGGTGAGGGGTTAATATTCAAATTACATCTTTCTATTGGTTTCATTAGGAAACAAACAAATAACACTAAACCACAGATAGATATACAGATATACAGACAGATGTACTGATATACAGACATATGTACAGATATACAGACAGATATACATATATACAAACAGATGTACAGATATATAGACAGATAGACAAAGAGATATAAATGTATACAGACATTGACAAGTATATGAATGATATACAGATATAAAAATAGATATACAAATATACACAAAGACATATATTGGATTTAGTATTGGGCTAATTTTTTTTTTGGTCCTATATTACACTTTCAACCTTTTGGGTTACTTGTATATATTACACAATGAAAGCTGAATCGTTTATAAAGTAAGATGTATAATCTCTGAATTTTGCTTTTATTACAAATGCAAAAAAAGCAAAAATGATAAAAAAGCTAAACCAACACGTTTTATTTAAGCGATAAGTCAAAACGAGATATCCTATCGTTTCACTTTTTATTTTGTGCCGTTTATGTGAGAGTACAAATGTTGCAATGTTGCAATGTTGAGTCTTTGCAACAAAATATGATTTTCTAATTCATATATCTTTGCATGCTACAATGTCAGGAAACTTAGATATTTAAAACTATAAATTCTGCTAGATAAAATAATCTAAGTTTGAGGTATTGTAGGTTTTAAGATATAAAGATGTAAGTAATATTAGAAAATTTGAGTTTGTGGCAAAGACTCAAGTCCCTTAAACTAAGCATATTAATATTTAGAATTTACCTCGTCCTCCTTAAATCATGATAAAGCTTTTATATTTTTTTGAATCGGATTTAGTAAAAATTCGATTTAATTCGGTTTAACCAACTAAAGAAATGCATTTCTCTAAATCTGAACATTATGTGTTGGGGATTTCCCAATACAACTTACAACATGACTAATTTCAAAAAATCTATTTCCGACCTAAATTTTTTTTTTGTAAATGACAATGAAGTGTTTAAGTCTTGTATTACATAAGCCTTTTTAGCCCTTTTTATTATAATCGTGATTTCTAAATAGAACTTTCAATTTTTAATGTATAATTGTATCAATCTATTGAAAGTATAGAAATTAATTGAATTTTTTTATTACATCTACAAAATGTATTAATAAAACCTAAGTTGTTTTTCATTATTTTTTATGGAAGATAAATCTTATTATGTATCATAAGCTGACTAAATGAATAATTAGGCCAGAAACTGAAAGTATGGCTTTTTAGTTACTCAACAAATGAAAGTTTAAAATTAACAGTAGATCTGGACAATATAAAAAGTACAAAAAAAAAGTATAATTTGTAACTGTTACAAATAAGACCAAACTAACCACTGCACTGCACAGATTGAACATTTGTAAAGTTGTGGTTTGGAAAAATGCTTGTATGGATAAAGACCAAACCAAAGACTAGGAAGAATTAAACCCCCCAAAAAATAATATGGTCCTTTGTACTTTCAATCAAAATGTTCAGTAACTATTGAGGTTAAAGTGAGTAAAGAAAGGCTCTGATTACTAAAAAAAAACTTCCCTCCACCCCCTGGTAAATGTTGAGGCCCAAGAATAGGCCAGTATGCCTAGTATGAGTGTGAGTGTGTGTGTATGTGAGGAGAACTGGTTAGTTGAGTTCTAGTATTCTACAGATTCACATCTAGCATCTTAGCAGATATATCATACAACACAGATATATTTAGACATCAGTGAGATATCAACTATATTATACGGTAGGAATAATATGCTTTTTAATTTAAACTTCATCCCCCATCTACCCCCCCCCCGTATCCCATATATTCCCTTGGTTTTATGTCGAGGTCTATTCCTATAAATATATATAACATATATACATATATATAAATAACTGTTTATCATTGTTGATCAGAGCCAGGAAAAGAAAATTCCTTAAAATATGGTGCAAATTCAAAGGTTAACGTGTAGTTTTTTCTGCCCCCCCCCACAAAAAAAACCACAAAACTGTTCAGTTTTTATAACTTTTATTTTTAAGACAATAGTTTTACAACTTGGAAATTAAAAATTTTAATATTTTTCTATTATTTCAAAGTCTTAATTATTCACTGCAGTCTAAATTAAGAGTTTTTAAATTTGCAAGACTTATTTGTGATGTTTTAGAATTTTTGGGGTTTTTTTTGGGTGGGGAGGGAGGGTGAACACAGAAAAGTTGTAAAAAATCTAATTGTGAAAACGAATATATAAACAGAAAAAAAGTATTAGACCAGAGAATATTAAGGAAGGCATTAATTACGCTGATGAAGAGTGTTAAGGAGGATTGATGGTTGGTTTAAAACTAGGCTTAGATGATTTTAAAGAATTAAAGTCCTGGAATGCAGTGAGTGGAGGTGGGGGGGGGGGATGGCTGGGATCCGCTTCGTACGCTACGCACCTTTCAGACACTATACGCGGAAATTCTTGAGCGAAATCCGTTCCAAATGCATCCTGCGTATTTATCTGTTTATTCAGTTCATTCATTCCTTCAGATTTATCATATTTAACATATTTTCATAAATCTTTTAAAATACTTTTTTTTCAAGTTCATTTATCAATCATTAAAGATATTTTTAAATCACCCAAATATTGTTAAAAAACTGAAGACAACCCCCATTGTATAATAAACCAAAAAGTTTACCCTTTTTGCTATATTTAATGTTTCATGAAACACCCTTTCCCTACAAATTATTTCGCCACAAAACATTTTCCAAAAAAAGAGTCGTCAAAACGTTTTACTACTAAACGATTGCCTTAAAAACGATTTTCGATGAAACGTTTCTCTCTGAAACGTAACGTGTTCGTAAGAAAATTTCCCAAAAAATTTTCCCCGAAAAACGTTTTACCCAACAATATTTCATCAAAAAATATTTCCCCACAAATCGTTTTCCGACAAACCGTTCCATCGGAAATAATAATTCAACAAAAGCTAAAGGGCCAAAGAAAGATTAACCCAATCATGATTGGAGGTGGGGAGAGGGTGTTTTCCGCCCCCCCTGTGTTTTTTCTAAATAACTTAAAAACAGCTTTCATTAGAACGCTTAAACTTCTTTACTTAAACTTCATGGTTGTGAATTAATTTTGCAAAAAATCTTTTTTTGATACATATGGTAGGGTGGAGGACAGTCAACTGGCAGGTCGGTGTTTCAAAAAAATCAGAAGTGGTTAATATAATAGTTTCTTTTATTAATTAAGCTGTTAATATTTTTCCGACGCATTTTTTGACCTTTTTTAAAATCCTCCCTTGCATTCTAACCATTAAAGGATTGAGGTCTAATTTTTTCCAATGAGCAGACCTTGAAAAGTTGGATGTATCACACTCCCCTTTCTCAACTCTAAGGGCAAACTCATAGACAATATTAGATAAATTAAGGGTTAAAGGATTTGTAGACTGGGGAGTCAAGGGGGGGTATATATATTTATAGAAGAAATTACAAATATAAGGATGAGCAAGGGTGTGGAGGCCTTGAGGGTAAAATATTGCGCAAAATAAAGAGTTATTTAATCCGGGGAAATCCTGAAAATCAAGATGATCATGTTTATTTATTCCTTCCTTTAAACCTCTCCCTCTCTCCCTCTATACTCAGTGCTCAGTATATTTCCCTCACTCATCTAACAAGGTTCGTAGGTTCATTCGTTTCCCTTAGTTTCACTTAGTTTCTCCAGCCATGGCCCAAGGTTCTCCAGTTGGCAAAAGTTTGTGTACGTCGGTGGCCCTAATTTTTCCTGGTGGCAACAGCTCCTACAAGTAATCCAAGATTCTCCATGTTTCTCCGTGTTTCCCTATATTTCTTCATGTTCCCCATGTTTCTCCAGTTTCACAAAGTTTCCCCGTAATTCATAATTTTGCACCAATTATCAACACGTTTCCCCACATTTCCCCACGTTTCCCAACGTTTCCCCACGTTTCCCAACGTTTCCCCACGTTTCCCTACATTTCCCCACATTTCACCAAGTTTCCCAACGTCTCCCAACGTTTCGCCAAGTGTTCCTTTGTTTCCCCAAGTTTCCCCTATTTTTCCACGTTTTTCATGGTTACCGACGTTTTCCCACGTTTCCACATGTTACCCCGGGTTTCCTCATTTTTCCCGATGTATCCCCACGTTTCACCATGTTTCCCTGGGTTTCCCCATGTTTTCCCGTGTTTCTCCATGTTTCTCCTGGTTGCGGCATGTTTTTTCGATGTTTCCCTGGGTTTCCCCATGTTTTTTTCCACGTTTCCCCGAGTTCCCCGATGTTTCCCCGGGTTTCCAAGTTCCCCATGATTCACCTTGTTTTTTCAATTTCACCCACGTTTCCCCGCGATTCCCAACGTTTCGCACGTTTCTTCAAGCTTCCCCATATGTTTCTTTATGTATCCATGTTCCCCCCCAGTTTACCACGTCTCCCCATGATTCTCCATGTTTTCCATTTTTCCTCATGATTCCTCATTTTTCATCATGCTTCACGAATTTCCACACGTTTCCCCAATGTTTCCCCATGCTTCCCATGTTTTCCCAAGTTACCCCATGTTCCCCCATGTTCCCTATGTGTTCCCATGTTTCCCTATGTGTTCCCATGTTTTCCCATGTTTCCCCATGTTTCCCCATGTTTCCCCATGTTTCCCCATGTTTCCCCATGTTTTCCCATGTTTGTTGAGGGGGGGTAGTAGTTGAGGGAAGGGGTTGCAATAGATACTCTCTTTTACAATGACATGAACCAGATCATCTAAATTAGGTAATTTAGATACAAATCAGTGCATTACTAAACCTAGCTAGTTAAACTATAGATTAAAAAACTTTTTATTTTATGTAGTTTTTAGAGAGTTATTCTTCTGAACACTTCTAGTTTGTAGAGAGTTTATCTTCTGTACACTTCTAGTTTGTAGAGGATAAATATTCTGTACACTTCTAGTTTGTAGAGGGTTAATCTTCTGTACACTTAATTGTAGTTTGTAGAGGGTTAACCTTCTGTACACTTCTAGTTTGTAGAGGGTTAGTCTTCTGTACACAGTTTGTAGAGAGTTAATCTTCTGAACACTTCTATTTTTAGAGAGTTAATCTTCAGTAAACTTCTTTATTAGAGAGTTTATCTTCAGTGCATATCTAGTGTGCAGAGATTCAATTTTCTGTACCACTTTGGTTTGTAGAGAGTTAATCTGTTGTACATTTAAGTTTGAAGAGAGTTAATCTTCTGTCCACTTCTAGTTTGTAGGGGGTTAATCTTCTGTACACTTGTAGTTTGTAAGAAGCTGTTAATCTTCTGTACACTTCTAGTTTGCAGAGGGTAAATATTCTGTACATTTCTAGTTTGTAGAGCGTTAATCTTCTGTACACTTCTAGTTTGTAAGAAGCTGTTAATCTTCTGTACACTTCTAATTTGTAGAGGGTTAATCTTCTGTCCACCTCTAGTTTGCACTTGCAGAGAGTTAAGCTTCAGTACACTTCTATTTTTAAGAAAGTTAATCTTCTTTACACTTCTAGTTTGTATAAAATTAGTCTTATGTACAATTTAGTTTGTAGAGAGTTATTCTTCTTTACACCTTTAGTTAGTAGAGACTTATTCTTCTGTACACTTTTAGTTTGTAGAGAGTTAATCTTCTGTACACTTCTATTTTTTGTAAACGCCCAGTTTGTAGAGAGTTTATTTTCTGTACACTTCTAGTTTGTAGAGAGCTAGTCTTATGTACAATTTTAGTTTGTAGAGAGTTAATCTTCTGTACACTTCTATTTTTTGTAAACGCCCAGTTTGTAGAGAGTTTATTTTCTGTACACTTCTAGTTTGTAGAGAGCTAGTCTTATGTACAATTTTAGTTTGTAGAGAGTTAATCTTCTGTACACTTCTATTTTTTGTAAACGCCCAGTTTGTAGAGAGTTTATTTTCTGTACACTTCTAGTTTGTAGAGAGCTAGTCTTATGTACAATTTTAGTTTGTAGAGAGTTAATCTTCTGTACGCTTCTAATTTTTGTAAACGCCCAGTTTGTAGAGAGTTTATTTTCTGTACACTTCTAGTTTGTAGAGAGCTAGTCTTATGTACAATTTTAGTTTGTAGAGAGTTAATCTTCTGTACGCTTCTAATTTTTGTAAACGCCCAGTTTGTAGAGAGTTTATTTTCTGTACACTTCTAGTTTGTAGAGAGCTAGTCTTATGTACAATTTTAGTTTGTAGAGAGTTAATCTTCTGTACGCTTCTAATTTTTGTAAACGCCCAGTTTGTAGAGAGTTTATTTTCTGTACACTTCTAGTTTGTAGAGAGCTAGTCTTATGTACAATTTTAGTTTGTAGAGAGTTAATCTTCTGTACGCTTCTAATTTTTGTAAACGCCCAATTTGTAGAGAGTTTATTTTCTGTATACATCTAGTTTGTAGAGAGTTACTTATGTACAATTTTAGTTTGTAGAGACTTAATCTTCTGTACACTTCCAGTTTGCAGAGAGTTAACTTGAAGTTTGTTATTATTAAATGTGTCTGTAATGGTTGTAAAATTAAGAAATATTTCCGCCCAATGGAAAAATTTCCTAACCCTTCCAAGCGAGGTGTATATATGTGTATAGAGAGGAATACTAATCCTTTAAAAGGATACGGTTCACTAGAGCAAACCTATCTTCTTCCTAGATCTACTTAATCACAACCTGGAGGAAGGGAGCCATATCTAGTTGGTGCTAGTGATTGAGGGGGGGGGGGAGGATGAACATTTTTTTGAAAAGGAGTAAAGTTTTTAATCTGGTGTATCTTCATTACATCTCC